TCGCTCCCTCCCTCTGGCAGGTGGAAGAAGCCGACGACTGGCTCCGACACGGCAACCCCTGGGAGAAAGCCCGTCCCGAGTACATGCTGCCCGTGCACTTCTACGGCCGGGTTGAGCACACCGCCGCCGGCGTCAAGTGGATCGACACACAGGTACGGGCTGGAGACACAGACTCATGGGGCAGGTGGGTGGGGGAACCCCCCTTACACCACTTGTCCCATCGTCTGGGGGACACCAGGACCTGCCAGCATGCCTGCCTGGGGAGGGTTTTGCTGGTGAGGCTGCTTTGCTGAGGTGGAAAAGGCAGCCAGGGGAGCAAATTGAGACAGATAGAAGGATGGGGAGAGGTTTTGCTGCTCCACGTCTGCTGCCCTCCTGCCAGCCTCTGCAATACCCAAAAAAACTCCTCCAGCAAGTCTGAGTGCAATGCACAGCCCAGCACGGCAGCTTAAATTAAGCTTCTCCTGAGCCTTGCGAGTCCCTTTCCCATCCCTGGAGCGCTTCTGGCGAACACCAGCTGCTGCACAGACCCTGTGTGTGTTCCTGGGGCAGGGGATACCAAGCGCGTCCCCACGTGTGAAGATGGACGCGACCCTGAGGGAGGATCTGTGGGATGGGAGGGCTCCGAGGGGGACACAAGGGCCACAGCCCGGCTCCGTCTGTGCTGCCGATGTCTTAGGTGGTGCTGGCACTGCCCTACGACACTCCCGTGCCTGGGTACATGAACAACACCGTCAACACCATGCGCTTGTGGTCAGCTCGAGCACCCAACGACTTCAACCTGCAGGACTGTAAGTGGGCGCTGGCGGGGTGCTGAGCGGGACAGGGTGGAGAGATGGGGGTCCCGTGCCCGCCCTATCCCTTTGTTTATCCTCCTCTGCTTATCCACCCTATCCCTCTGCTTATCCTTCCCTTATCCAGGGCAGGGAGGAGTCACCATCCCTGCGGGGGTTTAAGGAGAGGCTGGATGGGGCCTTTAGTGCCCTGGGCTGGCTGATGTGGGGGTGTTGGATCATTGTCTGGACTCAGTGATCTCAGGGGGCTTTTCCAGCCTCAACAATTCTGTGATTCTCTGTGATTCTGCTCCTGCTCAGTTAACGTTGGAGACTACATCCAGGCTGTGCTGGACAGAAACCTGGCAGAGAACATATCCCGCGTCCTCTACCCCAACGACAACGTAAGTCGGGATGGAGGAGTGTCCTGAGGTGGAGCAGCCCCTCTCGCCGGGATGTTCCAGGGGTGGTTTAGTTGTTTCTCAGGCCGCCTGTGGTGCTTGGATGGGGATTTCTGCCTCTCGCCAGCACTGCCCGGGGCTGCAGCAGAGAGGAGTCTGTTCCCGGGCAAATCTGTGCTCTGCGCAGTAAAGGGGAAGGGAGTGGGGATGAGCAGGTCCAGCTTGCAGAAATATTCCTCGAGGCTCAAAATATAACATGAAGGCAACTGCCTGAACATTCTTCCAGCATTCTGCTGCCTGTCCCTTGCAGCCCAGCATGGAGATTGTTTCTCCGATCACCCGTTGCACCCTGATGCTCTCACTGCAGGTGTTGTGGCCGTGCTGCCCATGGCCTGGCACGGAGGGGTGATGGGATGCACAGTCCTTCCCCAGCCACAAAGTGAGCTGCAGAGCCAGGGAGGGTGATGAAGGGTGACACTTTTTGCTCTGCAGCCTATTTCAGGCAGGCCCTGATGGATTTAATCCCCCCTCAGGCTGGTGAGAAGAGCTGGGGGCACCACAGCTCCAGTGGTGAGGTTGCAGATCCTCTCTCACAGACCACGGGGTGGATGTTTTGTGCTGCATGAATGGTGGTTTTCATTTTTGCCTTAGAAACAGCTAATACAGCCCCTACGACTTCCTTTCCTGTTGCCCCAGTGTATTTTTTTTGGCAGCCAAGATTTTCCAGCCAGGACATTGGAGAGAGCAGCTTTCCACAGTGCTCAGTGGTGGTGGGGTGGATTTAAACCTCTTATTTGCAGCAGCACGTTTCAAACTCCATGTGCTGAAAGCTGGAAAGCAAGAAGACGTTAGGATTTGAGCAGCTGCCAGTACCGGGGGACGCATGGGGGGCTTGCACCGTGCCAGCATGGGTCCCCACATGGCAGCGAGCCC